GGATGGAGGGGCCCGGGGCTAGGGCATTGGGGCGCAGGATTGGGGCTATAAACATTCTTGATGATGGTGGCCCAATTGCCGGTGGGGGGGTCCCGATTTCGGCACAGTTTCGGAAATTCTCGACCAGACCTACCGATTTGGGGGGAATAAAAATTTTTTGTCATTCGGTCCCCTTTTTTGAACATTGAGTAGGTTTGCTCGGGAACAGTGAGAAATTTTCAACTTTTGAGATTTTCTCAATTTTTCCCCAAAAAATTTTGGGAAAGAATGGAAAAACCCGCAGGTCTCTACGACCACTCCCTTTACCCCCAAAAATTTCTTATGAGTGAGTGAGTCAGTCAGTGAGTCAGTCGGATTGGGGCTATATAGGTTCTTGATGCATGCTGTGCGTCTCTCTGTCGTTCGTCCGTCCGTCCGTCCGTCCGTTCGTCCGAGGGCTTCCCGTGGTCCGATCTTGACCCAAAATTTTGGGATGCAGCCTCCTTGGGTGATCCTAAGAACCGCCCCGGGGGCAGCAAATCCGATCCGAGCCCCCGGGGGGGCTGCTGCAGGTGCATCATGGTCTACATGGGGTCGAGGAGGATCTCGGCAACGGATGCAGCTAGGAGGGCATGTAGGGGGTTTTTGGAATCGGGGCGACGAGAAAAAAACCCAAAGGTGCCAGTTTCGAGCGAATCGGAGAAGTTCGGACCCGGGTTCAAATCCCCGCGGGGTATTTTTTTAACATTCTTTTTATTCGAGTTTTTTCATTGTTTTGATGTTTTTGAGGGTGCTGATGACGAAAAAGACATTTATTTTGACCCCAGACTCGGGTTCAAATCCCGCGGGGTTTAAAAAAGGCGAAATTCGCACATTTCTAAATGTACGGGACGGGCCCAAAATTGCCGATGTGTATCGCTACTTTTCCCGTTATTTGAAGATTGAGGGATTTTGTTAAAATTTTGGCCTATTTTATCGTTTTTTAGGATGTTGCCGGTGACAAGAACCCGATTGCGGCACAGTTTCTGAAATGTCTCGACCAGACCCACCGATGGGGTGAAAAAAAATTTTTAGTCGGTCGGTCCCCTTTTTTGAAGATAGAGTAGATTTTTTTGAATTTAGGCCTATTTAATCGTTTTTGAGGATGTTGCCGGTGACGGGGACCCGATTGCGGCACAGTTTCGGAAATGTCTCGACCAGACCTACCGATGGGGCGAATAAAAATTTCTAGTCGGTCGGTCCCCTTTTTTGAAGATTGAGTAGGTTTGCTCGGAAACGGTGAGAAATTTGTTCCCCTTTTTTGTAGATAAAGTAGGTTTTCTCGGAAACGGTAAGGAATTTTCGACTTTTGGGATTTTCCCAATTTCCCATAAAATTTGGAATCGAATGGAAAAACCGCAAGTCTCTACGACCACTCCTTCACCCCAAACATTTCTATGAGTCAGTGAGTCAGTGAGTCAGTCAGTGAGTCAGTCGGATTGGGGCTTTATAGGTTCTTGATTACGAAAATTTTTGTGATTTTTAGAGAATTTTTGAGAAATTTTGAGAAATTTTCGGAAATTTTTCAGAAATTTTGCATTTTTACAAATTTTTAAAATTTTATGGAAATTTTCAAAATTGTGAAAATTTTTGAGAATTTTTGTAAATTTGTAAAATTTTTGAAGCATTAAATTTTTGGTGTACAGAAAAAAGGGTAGTTGTTTCCCCCTCGCGCCGGGCGCTGCCGGCTTCGGCGCGCTCGGACCCGAAGGCGCGCGACTCGGGCGCTCTCTACTCGGCGGAGTCCGGCAAGCCTGCGTCACGCGTCGCATGCCGCTGCTGTGCTGCTGCTGTGGGCCGCTCCAAAGTCAGAGCAGTTCCTTCGCGAAGTCAACAGGTCAGGTCTTCAGTGTTGCTTGACGTAGCGTCTGCAACAGTGTACGTCCATTTTTTTACTCGTGGATTTTGCGACATTGCTGCCAGCACAACCATCCCCAGAGGTACAGTACGTCGTTTCCGTGGAATGAAAAAGCTTATCACCGCCGAACAAGCGCAGGCATCAAACCGTTCTTAAAAGCAAGTTCGCGAGTATGCAAGAGGGGCGGGTATAGGCCATCGTAACTGCATATATACTGTAAATGTCTAGCAATGAAACTTAAGCTATGTTATAGAGAATTTGACGCATGCGTAGTTCAGAACACCTTCGTATCATGAAAGAATTTATGCGTTCGTAATCTCTCTTAATAGCCTACGAAGCATTTGCTTCATAACTAAGAAGAAAATGACGGCGTTATCGAAATGCTTAGTGTAACGAAGGATTTTGCTTCATTTTACCAAAGCATTTCTTCGTAGCTCTTACAATGCTTTCATTTTCTTCGTATTACGAAGCGGTTCTTCGTAGGGTTTTTACTGCGATATGTTTGCACGATTTGGCTCGTACTCGTGGAACTTACTTCGAAAGATATTATGAATGCAACGCTGCGTAACACTCTTTTGTGTGGAAGCGTGTGTTGGGGCGGTCTCGGGTAGCCGTTGCGGCACAACGCGTAGTAACCAACGTTCGGATAACGTGATTCACGAGCGTCGAGACCATACAGCCCAGGGCTCCGCTCACCCCGTCGCCTGCACCCCGTACTTCCGGTGCAGCAGTCCGGAAACGACAGTGGGGGGGTGGACTCCACCCGGTGGAGGATGCGGCGACGGCATCCCGTTCGGGGCACAAAACCTTAGGCCATTCATATCGGCATTAAGTTATGCTCCCCGGTTAGACAGCAATTTTACGCCCATAATCCATGCTGCTCTGATTCCTTTGCACTGAGAATCCAAACGTTAAAGTATAGCGTCAATTGGTGCAATGCAAAAGCATTGCACGTGAAGTGCAATGCCTTCCCATTCCCATGCATTAGCATAGGGCTTTTTCGGGATGCATTGCACGTAAGGTGCATTATGGCTGAGGCATTGCACGTATGGTGCGAAATCTCAGCTTCATTGCACCATACGTGCTATACTCATAGCGTTTGGAATCTCAGTGTGTGAGCACTCTGAATATTCATGTTTAATTCGTAATGCGAAGGATATCCTCATAAAACGAAGCAATCTACAACGCCTTCATTTTCTTTGTAGTTATGAAGCAATTGCTATGTAGGCTTTTATGAGCACTGAGAATGAATTGGTCACCACCATCACCCTTTAAATGGGTGATGCAACTTCGTTGGCCAAATTTTGGTGACGAAGAATTCATCACCCGAAATTGGGTAACAGGCGTTTGGTCGCCCAAATTTGGGTAACGCCGTCGGCGACGCCGCGAGGTTCCCGATGACGTCCTTCCGGGGCCACTACGATGACCGGAGGCTTCAACGCCACATGGCGGTCATCGTGGTGGCCCCGGAAGAGCGTCATCGGGGACCTTACGGCGTCGCCGACGACGTTACCCAAATTTGGGCGACGATTTTATGACTGCCCAAAATTTGGTCACCGCGGGCTCGTCACCCAAATTTGGGCAACGGTGCGTGCGTTACCCAATGAAAGGGTGATGGTGGTGACTCTTTCATTCTCAGTGAGTGTAGTGCTGTAAAAATTCTAACCTTTCAAATGTTTTACGTGTCCAACAACGGAAGTTTTGTACTTTTGTTCCGTGCCCGATTACATGACGTCATATAGAACCAGTACGGACGTTCCGAACTTCTTTTGGGACTAGCTGACGAATAGGGTATTCCAATGCTCTTCCAGACCGGAAGTGAGAGATGGCAGTTTTGATGAGAAAGTTACGCGGCGAAGTTAATCCGCCGCGTGGATTTCGAATATTAACTGCCATTTTTGACTGCTGTTGTCGGTCTTCTCACTTCCATTCTGGGAGGGCGTTGGAATACCCTATTCAGTACGGACTGAAAGAGTCTAGTAACGCCCTTGAAAATGGCATAGATCAAGTACGCCCTTCCTGGACACTAAATTATGATGTAGAATTTTGTACTTGTAATTTGCACGACTAGTGCATTGCACACGCGGAATTTGCATAAAATTTTGCAGAAAAATGCTTGAATGCATGCAAATTAGAGCAGAATGTTCTGGCTACACTGTGAGAAAAATGTACGGTTATTCGCCGTTAATTTATTAACAGGATTTGCCGTACTTAGAAGTACGGTGTTTACCGTACCTAGAAGTACAGCGTTTACCGTACCCATTGAAGTACGGTGTTTGCCGTACCTAGACGTACAGCGTTTACTGTACCTGGAAGTACGGCGATCACCGTAATTCGTAGAATGCACTTGTCAAGAGGCAGTCATTTCTTGACATCAAAGTCAATTTAGACGATTTTGAAAATGTACTCAAACTCTTTGGAATTGAATCCAACGTGAGATCTTTTCAACTTCACGTCCAAAGTGCCGCTTTGAAATCCGAGGGAATGTCTTGTTATATTTCTAAGGGGTTTGAGTGAATTTTCGAAGTGGTCCAAATCAAGTGAATTTTCAAAGTGGTCCAAATCAAGATCTTCTTACAGAAATGGATTCGTCTCGTCAAGACAAACAAAAAATGTCATGGCATGTCATAGGTTTGGATGGAAAATGAAAAAACTATTCACCTACAAACTTAAAAATATGTTCATGGACCTTTTAGTTACTTTTGAAGCTCAATGACGTTGTCATTTCCCATCCAAACCTATGAGATGTGTTGCGGTTTTTGTTTGTCTTGTCGAGACGAGTCCATTTCTACAAGAAGATCTTAATTTGGACCGCTTTGAAAATTCACTCAAACCCCTTAGAAATACCTAAATAAGACATCCCCTTGGATTTCAAGGCGGCTCTTTTACCGTGTTTGTACAAACTACGGGAATCGCCGTACTTCCAGGTACGGTAAACACCGTACCTCCATGGGTACGGTAAACGCTGTACTTCCAGATACGGTAAACACCGTACTTCTAAGTACAGCAAATCTTGTTAATAAATTAACGGCGAATACCGTACATTTTTCTCACAGTGTAACTGTGCGTGGAAGTGCCATAGTGCCCGTAGAACCCTATTTAATAACGTTGCCTCTTGCAGCAGAATGCCCCCCAAGAAGAGAGCGCAGACGAGCCCTGCCGGAGACGCCAGCAAGAGGTCTAAGCAGGGAAGCAGTCCGTCTCAGCGGCAAGAAGGATCCTCATTGGACAGGTATGTATGGTTGCAAACGCTTTGGTACCTTATGTGCGTTCTTCGCCAGTTTTCTCTTTTTGTCCTGTGGAGGTATTTCGAAGTTTTTTTTTCGGACCGGAAGTAAGAAAAACTGAAGCGCTGTTTGTAACACTTTGCAGCCTGACGATGGAGTCTGAAGTCGTGACGGTCAAGGAGGAGCTCTCGGGTCCCGAAACCAACAACCTGAGTAGCAGCACTTCCAGTCCCAAGTGAGTAGCATAGCTGCCGCCGAGAAAATACCGTAAACTTAAAAGAAGCGTCAGAAGAATGTCATTTCAATACACAGAATTTCTTTGCTCACTGCAAAGAAAACAGGGTTATTGTAATGCAAACAACATCTTGCACTACAAATCCAAAGGTCAGACTTCTCGCCACTCCAGAGGCAAGACATAAAAGTCTCGCCAAGATTCGGTCAGACCTGAAAGTTTCGCCAAAATTTGGTCAGACAAAAAAGTCTCGCCACAAAACGGTCATTCACTAAAGTCTGACCCCAAAATGGCGAGACTTTTGTGTCTGACTACCACCGAAAGGCCGTAATGCGCCGGACGGTTACGGCCTAAAGGCCGTGGTCAGACACAAAAGTCTCGCCATTTTGGGGTCAGACTTTTGTGTATGACCGTTTTGTGGCGAGACTTTTTTGTCTGACCAAATTTTGGCGAGACTTTCAGGTCTGACCAAATCTTGGCGAGACTTTAATGTCTCGCCATATTTTTGCGTAAATTCTTTCCATCCAAATTGCAGTGCAGTCAAAAGGTATTTGGCACAAGGCTTTTTAAGCTGCCTGCGCTGTTTGCGGTTTTGTGATTCTTCATGTTCCTCTCTCATCGACGTCTATCGTCTATAAGCGTTGTTAGTCTGGGTAAAGTGGTGATAGTATGTTACAGAAAGTCTTAAATTCTTAAATAGCGAACAAAATATTTGTGCAAAGCTATTAAGTTTTGAAATAGACAGATTACATTTGTACCAGAAAATTTATTGTAAAGTTTCAAGTAAACTTATTTGTTTATGCTAAGAAATTAATACAATGCTGCAAAGAAATCGCAATAAGTGGCAATAAGTTTGCAGTGTCCAGACACTTAATCGCATCTTACTAAAATATTTCTCTGCAGAACATGTGACGTACTCTGCAAACTCAACAGTGTGCTCAGGACACTCTATTTGGCGTGTACTCTATAAATCGAAGAGCGTGCATTGTATGCTCTAACTGGAGCATGCCTGCGAGCACGCTCTAGCTAGCGCATGCCTGCCAAGCATGCACTTACTATAGTGCATACATGCCATGTACACCCTTCCTGATGCAGGGAACTCCCTATCCCGTATGCTCTAGATGCATGCTTCAGTTAGCGTGTACAGTACATGGCATGTATGCACTCGTAAGTGCATGCGTGGCAGGCATGCACGAGCTAGAGCGTGCTTGCAGCCATGCTCCAGTTAGAGCATACAATGTACGCTCTTCGATTTGTAGAGTACCGTCAACGGGGGTAACTTGGGACAGTCTGCCCTGTACAGCTTGTTAGTGCTGCCACTCAGCGACGGGGCTTCCTAGCGTCAAGCCCGCGGCAGGGTTTTGTTTCAAAGGCCTCAGGGCACGCGCGGAAAGGTTGAAGAGGTGCATAACATCCACTGTTAAAAAAAATATGAAAATTCAGACTGATTTCGTCTTACTTGGTGGTCTGAATCGTAAATTCATAAAATGGTACGAATATTAAGACCAACTGTCTGAAAAGTTTGACCTGTTGTCTGAAATTTGAATTTAGACTAGCGAGTCTGAATATTTAGAGCGATGGTTATCAAGTTTTGTACATTGTCGTCCGAAAACTAAATTCATACTTGTGAAATCGGAAAACGAGTGAAAAAACTCCGTCCCCTTGTACATTTTTCGATTTTCTCAGAACTTTTATCAATACTACTGTGTATTTCAAATAATATTTACGTTTAGTGTCGTAAAAGCATAGAGAATGTTCAGAGCTCCGAAATGGACACTTATTGCTCTATCCGCTAGGTGGCGCTAGTGTCGCATGGACGATCTTTTGGAGCTAAAATTGCCACTTGAAGGCGAAATTGCGAATATTTTGTTACAAACTTATTCCAAGTGATTGTCTGAAAGGGCATGAGCGCACCAAAGCAAGATTCAGGTTAATAAGTGCAGTATAAGCTAAAAACAAAGAATACAATTTCACTCTCGCGCATGGCCACGGGTCGGCGCGTGGTTGGGCTAAGGCCGCTCTCGCTCGCAATTCAGCAGTCACCTCTAGCCTCTTCACCACCTTTGCAAGTAGGAGTCTACTACCGAGTTCCTAATTTTTGAGCCGAGACGATCCGCTGAGCGTCTACGATAAACCGATGGCAAAAGTTCGCTGATTTGTGTTCTACTCTACAGAGTGGCAATGTCTTCAATGTCTTCGTACAACTTAGTCTGATAAAATAGACCGACTGGTATCATTTTTCATACAACATGTTGATCTGAAAATTCAGACTAACGTCGTCTGAAACTTTCAGACCGCGAAGTATGAAAGTTTTGGTATGAAAATTCAGACTGAATGTAAGTAAATCGACTTCTTACAAAAAATTATGAATTTTCAGTAATTTTTTTTAACAGTGTCACAATTAGTATTTGAAAAACGGGAAACTACATAATAGGGTTTTTGACAAAATATGTCAAACATTGACAAGTTGACCCTAGTGCAAGGAGTGAAATGCAGATTTGGCCGATTAGTCTCTCTGGGTTGTTAGATCATACACAGACAATAACGTTGGCAAAAAAGCGTTGATTACAGTTTTCCCATCTTCGGTCCAGACTTCAATTTATCAAAAATCGAAATTTCACGGGGTAACTTGGGACAGTCTTTTCCTCATGTTTCCAGCAGTCCTAGCCTTCTAGGAGTTGACTGACCCGGTCCCTGACATAACTTAAACTTCGGATTTTACGCTGATGATGGAAAGAGATGCCTTGCTCTGCAGTTTTGTCTTCTGGTAATCCATATTTTGAAATTTTCAGAAAATGCTTGGATAATACCAGTAGAAAAGAGAGTTCCACGTCGAGCTCTAAATATAGTCCAATATCGGTCCGACAAGAGTTCCTAGGCCTGAATTCTTGGTCTATATGTTGTGACTTAAATTTATTACATCCATTAACATCAATAGATGCATAGGAATGTAGCCAATTACCTACTGTCCCAAGTTACCCCCGGTCATGGGGTAACTTGGGACACTCTTTCGGGACGGCTGGGAAACGATATAATCGAGGCAAATGAACCAGACAAGCATGAAATCGTGGGGAAAGGGTCAAACTTTAACATAGTTAGGAACCATTGGTCTGGGTTGAGAATATTGGCTCTGGTGTTCTAAAAACGTAGTGTCCCAAGTTACCCCCGTTGACGGTACTCAAAAGTACACTCCAGTGAGAGTGTTTTCAGCTGAGTACACTGCAACGAGAGTGTGCTGAGATCAGTACACACCTTGGTTCCCATGGAAGTATATGCAGCTGAGTAAACGTTCGTCGTGAGCACACGCTGGAGGAGAGTGTACTCATACACAATAAACGGAGTGTACTCGTGCGTACACTCTGAGCAGAGTGCACTGAGTACACTGTTGAGTTTGCAGAGTAAAACCTTGCACTGCAGTCCAGACAACTTACTTTCTTTGCATTATTGAGAAGAAAATTCTTCTTAACATGGTTTTTGAGCGTAGTTTGTCTTTGCTTTCAGCCGAAACCCGTCACAGTTTTTCATGGTCATGTCACGTGTCGCGCAGGTTCTGGTGCCGGGACTGCGGCGACGATGCCGCGGAGGACTGCATGGACTCGGCCCACTCCGTGTGCTCCCTCCGCCAGCGTCGCACAGAACAGGCCGCCCCCAAACTGCAGCGTCTGGACAAGGTGGCGACGTCGGCGCGCGAGGTGGTGAAGGCCCTGCTGGACGTCAAGGGCGTGCTGGAGGCCCAGCTGGAGCAGTGGCGCGGCAGGCTGCGGCACGTCGAGGAGGCCAGGAAGGAGCTGTGGGAGGCGGCCGTGGATTGCCGGGACCTGGAGGAACCTACACTGGAGGAGGGCCTGGAACAGCTGCTGCAGGACGCCACCACTCTCCTCCAGGCCAAGTGTCAGCTGCAGCTGCAGGTGGACTCGCCCTGCTCCACCTGGAAGGGCCAACTGCAGGTGGCGGCTCCAGGCTCCAGACGCAGTTTGCTTTGCCCACTGGTGCTGCAGATGCACCAGGAGTGGAGCCTCACCAAGGTGCGTTCTGGAACCCTTTCCATAGTTTGACATGAAGAATTCGGCAGCTAGCTTCGAGTGCCACAAAACTTATACGGGTTGTTTCTCATGATAAAAGCACACTAAATGATCCAGGAAGCGGAAGAAGGGAATAACTTGACTTATCCCCAAATTGAGTTTGTATTTTAATATTGTGCCTTAGAATAGTTTCCATCATTACACCAAATTATTTGACTGAATTCCAAGCGGTTAAGGAGAAAATCCACATGGAAAAAGGGTATAACTCAACTTAACCCCTTTTACGGTCTAAATTTCATTGGAAAATGGAGATAACTCAACGGAAGTCCACATGAGTCCGTTTGACAAATTGGCAAAAGGATATAACTCAACTTGTATTTTTATGAATCTTGTGTAAAAAGAATCAACTCAACTTAGCCCCCCCTTAATTTTAAATTTCAATGTGGAAAAAAGAGCTAAGTCCAAAAAATACACCAGAGTAACATACACTTTATGCAGACTATTGTTCCACTTGACTTGTCTCCACATTCCTCTTTGTTTAGGAAATATAAGGTGAGCTGACTCCGAGCTGACTCTGTTTTCCATTTCAACGGAAAGCGATAAGTCGCAGAAATCCTCTACGGAGTGACCTTACACTTTTTATTTTTTTCCAAAATTTTACTAATGCTTTTTGAAATTATTAACATGTGCAACATTCATTTGTTTTGTTTTAGTTTTCCCCCCTAACAGTTTTTGGTTTCTCCTGGAAAATGGCCAAAATTGAGTTATCCCCTTCTTCCGCTTCCTGGATCAAATGTCTTACGAAGAAATTTGCCATAATACGAAGGAAATGGCGCAAGCATAATACGAAAGGTGGTTTTTCTTCGTATTACGAAGGTTTTTCTTCGTATCTGACAATCATAAAGCCAAAAAGATTCGTATTACGAAGGAATATTGCTTCGTATGATGCTTGCGCCGAATTCACCGTAACGTACGAACAACATAAGTGAAATTTCATTGCCCACCTTTTAAATGGCAACTTTGGCCTGAAATTTTGGTGGGCGATTAAAGCTTAAGGATACTGTAAAGTGAAACTAGCAAGGCCTAAAAATATTTGCCACAGGAAGATCATCTTGTGGTCAAAACTAAACCACTATTACATGAATTTATTCCCAAGGTTGAGGGGCCCCAACTCCTATTAAATTTTGAGTTATGGAGGTTTATCTAAACTTTAAGTTGTTTCTCCCAAATTCTCCTCACGACAAAGGATTAGCTACCCAGTCTTCAGATTTTGGCAATTTTATCTATTTTTGCATAGGAAAAAGGTAGCGTTGGCAGATTTAAAGACATCAGGGGAGAGGCTGTAAAAGCTATTTTATCAGGCCTATTTTTATTTTTCTTTAAATTTGTGAGATTTTGACCAGTTTGGTCTTGTTTTTGGTTTCTCACGAAAACTAAGGCAGATATCAGAAAAAGGGCAACGCTGTCTTTTTCCTATTTGAAAATAGACATAATAGCCAGAATCTGAAGACTGGGTAGCTAATCCTTTGTCGTGGGGAGAATGTGGGAGAAAGGACTAAAAGTTTACGTAGTTCCCCATAACTTAGAAGCTAATAGGAGTTGGAGCCCTAGTCTTAGGGTATGAGTGTATGTAATAAAAAGTAACTTTTAGCCCTATATTAAGACATCTGACACAAGTATTTACAAAATGTCATATAGCCACTTTTTTCACTTAACAATAACCTTAAAAATACTAGAGTCAGAAATCTCAAGATATGATTTCATTGTCTTGCCCTCAAAATGTGTCCGCACTGCTTCCAGGTCTTCCGTCCCGAAGAGTGTATGCATTTGGGGAAACTCAGCAAACAAAAGGAGCACACCCAAGAGCTGGACGAAGCCCTGCAGAACCCAAGCCTGGACAAGGTGAGGGTATTTTCGTTTATTGTGGCAATAAGGTTTGTCCCCGCAGCTATGCACGGCTAACCTAAGTCTTCTCAAACGAAAGAAGGCCTGCGCTATACGCAACGTACAATTTCGTCCGAGATGAAACATTTTTTGTACTTACTATTTGTGCGATTGAAAAAATGCGCTTTCTTTTTGGCGATGTGGAAATCCGTGTTTAGTTTTGTACTCGAAGTTCATCTGCACAAAAAAACTGCGTCTCGTACAAAATGTGGACAAAAGCATTAAGTGTGGCAACAGCGTGACAGGCGGTAACGCGTAGTGCGCTTGCGTGTTTCAGGTGAAGAATCTGCTTGGTCTGGACTGCTGCGAGCAGCCGAACTGGAGTACAGTGCTGCTGAAGCGCGTTGCCCCGCGCGTCGAGTGGCTCTCGCTTGAGGACGCCGTTCGGGAACACCTTGATGTGATCAGGGACATGCCAGCGCTGCGCTGCTTATACGTCCATCTGAAGAAGTCTGTCAAGAACGCCCCAGACCTGCCGCTTCAACTGCAGGAACTGGAGGTGCGGAACGTTTCAGAGGAACACCTCCAGTCCGTGCAGCGAATGCCCAGGCTGCGGAAACTCGTCTTGAACTGGTACAGACACGGTGCGCTCGACGTGGCGTTTCCCCCTCTGCCCGCGGGTCATTGCGGCCTGCAGTGGCTCGGTGTGTACCTTAAGCCTGCCTCCACCGTCCTGTCTCTGGCCAAGGCCCACGCCGCCACACTGCAGGAGCTGCGGATCCTGTGCGCCTCGGAGGGAGACGGTCCGTGGCACTTCAAGGACCTGGCCGAGGGGCTGCGCCAGTGCGGGCTGGTGGCGCTGCGGCGCGTTGTGCTGATGCGTGGACCCGCTCCAGGCTACCCTGCCGAGAAGCTCCCCCACGCGGCAGAGTCGTGCCAACGGCAGAAGAAGTCCATCTGGGACAAACTGTTGGCGACGGACTCGGAGAAGCCAGTCAGGGTAGTGAAGGTCATGTGCCAGGAGTGTGACAAGTGCCCCACATTTCCGCCTCTGGGAGACTTCACCTGGAAAGACGATTTAAACCCCGTGCTTCG